TTCGTCTCTCTCTTCCTCTTCTCTCACAAGGTTTTTTTTTTTTTTTTTTTTTTTTTTTTATGGGAGTTTTTTTAACCTTTTTTGTGTATATCTTTTCTTTTCACATGCGTCGTCGTCGGTTCTCTCCTCTCTCTCGCACCTTTTTTTTCTTCTTTTTTTTACCGTTTTTTTCAATATATATATATATCGTCAAATAGAACTGCCCGGTAAACCGTAGGCATATCATTTTTTTTCTCACTCTCGTCATCGGCGGCGGTTATTCCAACATGAGCTTCGATAAGGCAGCTACCAGGACCGGCGTTATATCCACAATCTTGAACTTATCCGAAGCGGATAAGACCGACTGGGCTCTGCTCATTGGGTGGGTATTTGTGGCTATAATTGTCGCAACCGGCGATTCGATGAGCCGTCTGACGACCTCATCCGAGGCCAGTGCCAGGTGGCTAAGTACAGCGGAGACACGTGTCGCCCCCTCATCAATATACGCTTGCGCGGCTTTGATTAGCGTGCCTCCGCTCCTCGTCATATCGTCATATATGATCACATGTTTCCCTGCAACGCTCCCAACCACACTCTGCACCCTTGTGACGTCGAAGTCCCTCGCCTTGCGCACAAATGCCACATCCACTCCAAAGCGTTTGGCAAAGCTCTCGACCCAAAGAGGACGGCCGAGATCTGCAGAAGCAAACATGAAGGGCTCCGATGTCAAGTCCAGATGATCCCTCACTCCCTTCAGCAGCACCTCCATAGCGTAAAGCTCCATGCGCACGTGGGGACCCTCCATGTACTGCAGCAAGGTCTGCACGTGCAGATCGACGAACAAGAACACGTTGCCCAGTTTGCTACAGGGAATGCTGCTCAGCAGACGCGCATTCACCTTGGCAGTGACCACCTCCCCTGGTAGCACCTGCCTCTCCATCGTGCTGTATCCCAAAAAAGGAATGACGAAAATCCGACGTCGACTGCCATAAGCAGAATAAGCACATCCTAATCGGATGAGTTCAAGAAGATCGGCGTCCGTGCACGTGCTGCAGACATGGATGACGTCCTTGCCAATGAGGTCGTACCGTTCCTTGAGGTCGATTCTGTAATAACTCTCGCCTCCGACGAAGGTCTTCCTGATTACCTTGCCCAGCGGGAGGCCCAGCTCGTTGCACACACGCTCCGCTAGGTAATGGCAGTCCGCGGAGGAGTAGACCACGTACCTCTTCGTCTTCTCCATCCGTCTGAACTCGCCATCGCCGCCGTCTTCTTCGTGCCCGTCGGAGAGCAGAACGTCATTGCCGCCCGCCATAGCCGCGTCCTTCTTGGCCGTCGTCCTCACCCCGCCGGGCGAAGGAGCATCGTCGTCCGCCATAGCCGAGGCGGAAGCAACAACAGCCAGATTGTTGGTACCTTCCCTGTCCCGAAGAAGTTCCCCAGCCGCCATGGCTGCCATGGCTGCCGCGATGAAAAAAAAATAGCTCGACGAATCTTGCCTCAATTCCCGCCCCGATCCTCGATGTATCTGACCTCAATAACGCACCAACAGATCGCGTCGGAAAAGCAAAGAGTACGGACTGATCGCTGTGGATGTATCCGACCCCATTCACGGCCAAAGAGATCAGTCGGGAAAGTGGAGCACCGACTGATCCTGATGTATCTGACCTGAATCGACTGATCCTCGATGTATCTGACGGCAATCACAACCAAAGAGACCACTCGAAAGAGAGAAACTAAGTTACGGACGGGTGCCAGTGGCTGGGCCACCCCAACTCGAAAGAGAGAAATCAGTCGGGAAAGTGCAGCACCGACTGATCCTCGATGTATCTGACCTCAATCACGCCCAAAGAGACCACTCGAAAGAGAGAAAGACCACTCGAAAGAGAGAAAGAAACTAAGTTACGGACGGGTGGGAGTGGCTGGGCTACCGCCGCTCAAAAGAGAGAAACTAAGTTACGGACGGGTGCGACTGGCTAGGCCACCCCCTCCTCGATGTATCTGACCTCAATCACGCCCAAAGAGACCACTCAAAAGAGAGAAACTAAGTTACGGACGGGTGCGAGTGGCTGGGCCACCCCCTCCTCGATGTATCTGACCTCAATCACGCCCAAAGAGACCACTCGAAATAGAGAAACTAAGTTACGGACGGGTGCGAGTGGCTGGGCCACCCCCTCCCTTCCCCCCGCTCCCCCCGCCGGCCTCCCTTGAGAACCCCAACAGACGGATAGAACGGCGGACCCTCTGTCTATCTATAGAAGGTATCAACAGATTATGGGTGTGAATAGGAGTAAGGGCCAAATCCCACCGGCAAAGAGGATCGGAATAAGCCTCTGAATGTGGAAGTGTTTGTGGAGAGGTGCAAACAATTGTGATAGATCTGCTTTTCTGCGCGCCTCGTCCGGATTCAGCCACTGAGGGATCTGGCCCTAGAACTATGAATTGCCACTGGGATCTGGCCCTAGAACTACGAATTGCTCCTGAACGGACAGAGTTCGAAGCCTGCTCAATAAAGTCCAGGCCACCTTTTTCGATTCTTTTTACTCTTGTCGAACAGAACTGGCCTCCTTTTCCAACCAGTACCAGGAGGTACTTGTCCGACCGAGCCTCTGGCTACCGGTACGCCGAACCTGTGGCTACCAACATGAAAAAACAAAAGACGAGAAAAATTAGAAAAACAGAATAATTTGTAAAATACCCCTATAAGGTGGGATATATACAAAAATGCCCCTATAAGATGTGGGTAGAGCGGATTATGCCTCTGACACAAAAAATGTTTTGCGAAATGCCCCTGGCATCGGTTGGACCTGTCGTCTTTGCAAAATACCTCTACGGGTACTGTCCATGTTTGCAAAATGCCCTGGTAGTCGCCAACTTTTCCCAGGCCCTATGCATTTTCGTTTTACCTCTTGTGGCCCAGGCGTCTTTGTGCTTTGCCCCCTCGCTGTGTGTGTGTGCCGATGTGTGTGTGTGTGTGTATGTGTGTGTGTGTGTGTGTGTGTGTGTGAGAGAGAGAGAGAGAGAGAGAAAGAGAGAGAGAGATGGAAAGCGGGATGGAGGTGCGGGATAGCAGGAAAATTGGATAGCCGCTAGCGGGAGTGGCGCACGGCCGAGAGAGAGAGAGAGAGAGAGAGAGAGAGAGAGAGAGAGAGAGAGAGAGAGAGAGTTTTCCAGCCATGCACGCAGAGAGATAGAGAGAGGTTACTTCCATCGATAGGATGAGCAAAATAGGAATGAATCTTCCAGTACAAATGGAAATAGACACTGCTTCCCAGCCGTGAGTGCACAAAGATAGAGAGGGGTTATGTCCATTCATAGGATGAGCAAAATCGGAATGAACCTTTCGCTAGATTATGGAAATATACACTGCCACTTTTTTTCCCTTTTTTTTTT